AGCAATCTCTGTAGGGTCCTTCGGGGCTCGAAGCGGGTCTAGGGGCTCGTCTGGACCTCCGGCCCTGGGCTGGCTCTCACACGGGGGGGGCCCAACCATCTGCAGGGCCTTTGCCGGGGTGAGCCTGGCCGGAGTCTGGAGGCACCCCAGGGCCCCTGGAAGCTTTGGAATCTCTGCTGAGGCTGACTGGTCTTGCTTGGCCGTCAGCAAGGCCACTTGAGCTGAAAGGGAGGCCACCTGCTCTGCAAGGGTGGCGTTCGTGACTCGTTTTGCAGCTGCTTTCTTGGCAGGCGCAGTCTTTCCCAACGGCTCCTCTCGAGCACTGTAAAAATGGATCCGAGCAACGGTCTCCTCACGAGCCCATGTCTTTGCCAGAGCCAAAAGATCCGGCATGGAAGGAAGAGCTGTCGCAAGACCATCTGAAAAGGGAGTAATAGCCTCCAAGGAGTCTGTCACGGGATCGTACTCCCTCAAATAGTCTAAGACAGCGTCTGTAGTGTCCAATACCAAAACCTCACTCTGAAAGCCAGCCAAAAAGATGGCACCGCTCTCGTCCTCATCCGTCATGTCCACCTCAAAGACTCGAGATGGGCCAAACAGATCATCCTCTCCTGCCATAGCCCCACCTGCCAGAATATCATCACGAATAACTCCAACAGGTATGACCAAAAGCATTCCTCCTCTCCGCAAATCAACTGGGCATGCAAACACTTGCAAATCACCTCCACTGGTAGATATCTCAGCTGGAACATTGAGGATCAACAATGAAGGATCTGAATTCTCGGCTGCGCTCCTCAAAACCCTCCGCTCCATCGCCACAGAGGTGGCACAGGAACGGTTGCACCGGCACAGAAAATATGCAGCTCCGTCAAGGTGGGGATCTTCTCAACAAAGACGATGTCCTCAAAGTCCCGAACCAGGCGATCACAATCTCGTTGAGAGGTCACCCTGAGAAGGTCAAATCCGTCACCTTTGCGCAATACCCAGTGAGTAGCTTGGAGTCCAGGCTTATACTGGCTGACCCCTTCTGAATGGCACGCCCAAAACGCTCGGGCCCAGAATCCGGCCTTGTAGGCCTCACGAGCACGGTCCTCAAAGTGTGCCTTGGAAGATGACAAGTGACGACGAGCGGCCTCAATGCAGAAGAGCGGAGTGTCCGGAGGGCCACTTTCAAACTTAATCAGTGAGCCTGCTTCTTCCTCTTTGCAAGTGGACCTGCAAGCTTTGACCCGGGCACTCCGTGATCTCACAGTTGCAGTTGAGAGGCAATCCACTCAGGATACTTCACCTCAGAGGCCAGCATCTCCGAGCAGGTCAGTTTCTCTGCAAGGTGTGAGGGGTTGGACTTTGGTGGAGGACGGTGTGGAGATTCCAGGGGCACCAGAGGGATTGACAGCCACTGGAGGAATAGGAAGAGCTCCTGGTCCTCTGAACAGGAAAAGAGCCAACCAAAGCCCGAATCCAAGGCCCAAAACAAATCCAAGGCTCAACCCTGTGACCAGAGGCAAGGCCAAGGAGGGATGGCAATGAGCAGGACAGCCAAGAGAGGAGCTGAAGGATGCAAGGGCAGTCAGCCCTTCAGCGACAGCACCCCACGAAAACATCCACTAAGCTTGAGACGCACAAAACGAAGTCATGGTTAAAAGTGCACATCCATTAAGATTTGTAAACAACTGCCAATCAACATCGCAGTTGTAATGGTCACCATTGCGAATAAAATTGCATGCACTCCCATGACCAAAAAAATGTAGACTTGGTTTCAAGTTTCAACACCACCCACCCATCTCAGCGGGCCAAATTCGTTCAGCCACCCAATGCGTCGCCAGTCATGGTTGCGCACGTAGTCGTCGTAGCGCACGATCTGAGGGTGCGACGTGCCATGTCTGCTCATGGTATATAACTAGAAATTATTTGCAAAAAGGTCGGTTCTTCATCCCTGCTTCACCTGGCCTCCTCACCTGGCACATGTGGTGCCCCAAAGAACTGCTGCACCAAAATCACCTCAGCTCAAACACCCCGGACGTTCGCCGTTTGGCGCCAGGCGACCGTCGTGTCTGATTCCCCGGCCCCATGGTTCGCTTCCTCCACAGGCACTCGCTGGGAGAAGGACACATCCCTGGCGCACCAAGCTGCACCAAGAGAAATAAATGGGATCGCCCTCAAAGTCCCAAGATGCAGTACGGAACCTTTGCATACTGCATCTTGGGACTTGATGTTTCCAATTCCTCCTTTCGAGAACACTTGATGACCCAACACCAGATGGACAGAGGGCGCAGGTTCTGCCTTGAAACTACACGAGGCCAAATTGAAAACAAAAGCAACAATTTGAGGCGTTCAGTGTTCTACCCATCCTGAGGATGGCGTCAATCACATGACTGCAAAAAGCAATTGATCCCGACGCCCACCATGAGCCCTTTAAAAAAAGGGTGTAAGGTACTAGTAACAAGAGGCTACTAGTAGCTAGAAGCTACTAGGTGGAGGCCATCGCTATTAGGGTGGAGGCCATTCCTACTAGTAACAAGAAGCTACTAGTAACAAATGGATGGGTATCGCACAGCCCAGTCGGACATCAAATAAGACCACCCTGTTCAAGTTGCATCACTCAGGTCGAACCCAACCAGTCGGTTGAGTCGGTTGGGTATATAACGGTATTATATAGTTGAAGTGCTGCCGAGAGGACCAAAGAACCTTGCAACAGTTCTGGTCCAAAACTATATTATAAGTCGGAAAGAATCAGCCTTGGTGTCACATCCCTCATTCTCACTGGTCCCATCCCCAACACAGTTCAGCCATCCTCGGATTAAGCCCCGCCTCTTGTCGAAGGAGCAATTGGGCAGGGCGAGGGTCTTCGACCCACCCTGCGCAAGTGATTTAAAGACATGGCTCAAAAGACATCACCAGGGAAAAAACCAAGACCTTAGTGCCCACAAAGGTCTCAAGCCCGGCCTTGGAGGAAAATGAGAGAGGGATAGATGCTCATTTATTGGTTCAGTTTCAGGCTCTTGGTCGTTGCGAGTTTATGACTCGGCACCCCAAAACGGGTTAGCCTTGTTCAGTCTTGCTTTGTTCCTTGTTCGGGGTTGTTCTTTTCTCGGTGTGAAAGTTGCGGAGATCAAATCTTCATTCAGTTCGGCAAGCTCGGTGAACGATAGCTAGCAGAGATGGGCCAGGTGTCAAAAGAAGATCTGGATGTCTGAAGGTCTCACTGTCTCACAGCCTTTTTTGAATGCTTTGGGGTAGTCTGGCAAATTGATGATCCTCAGTCTATTCTTCAAACTGACAATTGTTCAGAAGTAATTTCTCTCCAAGAATGACATCTGAAGGTGCATAAGAGGGTGCCACAACAGTTTGGTAGAACTTTACCTAGATAGCATCAATCACTCAGCATGCACTAATATCTCTATTCTTGCATGCAATCAGCAAAGCAAAATTTAAGGTGATGTCCGGGTTGGTTCCAGGGCTACGTTCGATGGGAAGGAGCAGAACGACCGAACCGACCCAGCCTGCGCAGTGGGCGGAAGGGCTAACATCTGCCCACCTGAACAGCAGGGAGCCAGGAGAACAAGGCATTCATCTGTGCATAAGGTGGAGTGACAGCGTTTTGCAAGCCTTCTATTTAGATAAATATCAAATCAACTGCTAACTATGCTAAAGCATTTAGATAACATGTTCAGCATTATTGAAAGCCAAAAATGCCTTGCACAAAGTAATAGACACGCAACATAAATTAATTCAATTGTCGATGCTCAAAAGATAGCAAATATATATATTTCACACAATGATGATGTCAATGATGCCAATGCGTTGTCTAAGCATCGTTAACATTTCATATATGTGTCATCTCTTTGCAATCATCCAAAAGTGCGCACTATCAAAAACATTAAAGGTTTCTTTGGAGAGAAGATTTAGCCCTTGTCTTTTGTAGTCCTACTGGTGATAATTTGGGAAGTAAGGAAGAACTAAAGTCAGTATTTCACCACCTTCGCCGAGGGGCCAAAAGTGCTCCGCCAAATGATTGGCAGGGACTCTTTCTGTAGGACAGTCGTGGTTGACTCAGTCAGATGACTAAAACCAACTTGTGACATGTGTGAGTTCAATGCGTGATTCGAATCCTAGAGGAACATCCAAGGACCCTCTGACAAAGAACAAACAACAGCTGCTCTACTGCTCTGTGTTCAAATGCTTTGCGCAGGCTGTGCTGTGCCACTGCAGCAAGTTTGGCAGATTTTGTGACCTTCGCAAACATGCAAGTTGGAATGGCACGACCTCGCGTGACACTGGTTGAATCTTCCGGCTCATGGTTTTTTCCACACACTCGTCAGTCGAGCGAAGGGATGGCCCAACTGGGCTGGTGAGACTCTTCACGCGCTGTGAAAAAGAGAGGCCTTTGGAAGCCAGGGATCTGCAGAGGGAGGAGGCCATTTGTCTATGTTCCCTCGTCGTCGTGGTTTAAGGGTGTGAGGTGCTTATAGTAAGACAATCCCACACTGAGTTTAAGGGGATGCTGCATGCTCAAAACAAAACTAAGTGTCAGAAGATACAACCCTGTCACTTTACAATGCAAGCCATCCAGAAGACACTAAAACAGCAGACCACTTAGCAAGGACCCTTCGACCCAATGGTGTCGGTGTCAAGCTCTTCACGCTAAATGCAAGTCACCTCCCCCTGCTTTCGCCCTCTATAATGGAACAGTAAACAGCCATCCCTCACCCGCTCTTGGTCGAAAGAGGCTTTCCGAAATCATGCCGACGTTTCTTGGAGTCGGTATGCAGAGTATGCGCGGGAAGGGATGTCACCCACACACACACAAGGGACCTGAAGAAGGGTCCTTTTGCTCTGGGCACAGCTGGGGGTTTGACAAACTTTAGTTTTTCAGAAGAAGCAGTTGACAAGGACAAAAGAACTTAAACACATGCGGTCTGCTCTTGACTATTGTCTCTCGGCTAAATAAGGGATGGGTTAGTCATAGTTAGTCGTTGTCGTTGAAAATGTTGAAATGAAACCAAAGGAGCCTTTGAGGGGTGCATCAACCTTGAACAGCAAGTGACCTTCTCTTAGTGGCCCAGACACCTTAAGGACTCCCCCTTCCAGTCATACTGTGGCTTCGCGTCCGCTCTAGGGGCCTCTTCTGAAACCCTCTTGCGAACCCAGCACACATGTGAGTAATCCCAACAAACACCCCAGACCCATCAATCTAGCCCTTTGAAATTTTTGTTGATGCACTTGACTGCTTTGAGACATCCCGGCAAATATGTAGAAATCTGAAATCCTTCGTAACCAAGGCGGCCCAGCACTGAGCAAGGATCCGCCGTCCTCATAGAAAACGAAAGATGATCTGCGTCTTCTCGTCCTCTTTCTTCTCACTTGAGTCACTTGAGCCCCTTGCAGGACAAGGGCGATGGTAGTTGTCGGTGTCGCGCTTCCTTACGGGTTCCCTTTTCTTCATTTCGATCCAAGTAACTTGGAAGTGGATCTTAGTCTTCTGTGTTGTAGCCTAATGTAACCTTCCACATTGAGGCTTAAATGCCACCTTTCGAGCGACAAGAACATCCAACAATCCTGCAAAGACGAAAGGCTTGTCTCAGAAGTGTTGCGAGCCGAACCCCCCAACCTAGACCCCTGAAACACTACAGTTTCACAACTGTATAAATCAAGCCTGTTAGCCTACAAAAAATGACCTTCAAGCGTCCAATACCAATGAGCGTGAACTGGCTCACATGCCCTATATACTTAGACAAGAGGATCAAGTCGTGCTTGGTACATAAGGCCCATTAGCAAGACTTACTGTCAATAGGCTTACCCAGAAGAGATGATGCAGGATGTGTTTTTCTTGCTCCACAATGCCCTTATCACGCGGATTTTGGCCTGCCGAACATGAAGTACAATATCAAGATGATGACAACCTCAGAGGTGAATGAACCCACACTTACCAGCCGCGTCTTTGCGAAAACGTTCCCAACACACAAACAAGCTGATAAAAAGCACGCCTACTTCACAGCTACTGTTACCTGGAGCAGGTCTTACTGCCCAAACAGCCTATTGAAATGCTCGCTCTGAACGAACAAGCCAAAGTGCCTTGAAGGGGAACAACCTCCAGCTCTGACAATGGTGCCACCACCCCAAAACACCGGGCACACCCTCAGAAGCTTCTTCCGAGTTCACCGTGTCCCCGTTGCTACGCGGCCTGCACCCGCTGGGGGCCCGGGCAGCAACCGCGACCAGTAGGATCCACCTTGGCCGGGACGTCTGTGTGAGGTGAATATTGGATATATACATACATATAGTCAGCTGGAGGGTGGCACCACAAGTTGGATCATTTCATGCACTAGGCCGTCTTCCAATGGTCCCTCACCAAGTCTCCGTGGCAAACCCAACATAACCCACCTTGCCTAGCAATCGTAATCCGCTGCCTCTACTTGAACTCCCTGGAAGGAACTCTGGGCCGGTCCAAAAATGAACAATGGCAATGGAGGCACAGAGTCCCAATTTCTTTCGGATTCTCACAGACTTCAACCAGGTTCGAGAACCCACATCCGCTGCCCGGACTTCAGAAAACAAGCTGTCTGGAAAAACGACATGTCACGCAAATGACTAGGGCACTCTTGTGCATGAACAGAAGAAACAAAGCTGGCCGAAGCCACCAAGAGTAAACACACTTTTGAACCCTTGGGCATTCTCCATCCTGCCTTGGCTAATCACCCCAATTCCATCCTGGGATCCCAAACTTCTTTCCGTTGGCCGCCTGCAAATCTTGATGATTCAGGGGTGCCTTGGCTTTTGCACGGCACCGGCTTTTGCACAACAGGGTGCCTTGCGGCTCCGGTGGGGAGAGGTGGCTGGTCAGATCTGCAACGGAAGCGGTATGTATTCTGCAACAGGTTTAGGCTCTGAAAATGGCACTGGTAGTGAGATTTCCACCCCAACAGTATCATTGTCCCCCTTGAAAAATGCTGCACTGCGACACACACCTACAGTCTCTGGCTGTTTCTAGAGCAACCATGACCATCTCAGTTCCTTTCTGGGGTCGTTGACTGAACAAAAATGCAAGCTCCCAAACATCAACCTAGAGAGAAACCTAATGGCAATGGCCTCCACCTTAGTAGCGATGGTCTCCACCCTGGTAGCGATGTAATGGAGAAATGTCTAAAGGAAATTGTTTAAAAGCCAACCGGTAAGATTATAAATCCAATCCCTTCAAAGCTTTGAGTTGATTCCTTCGTCGAGACCTTGATTGTTGCGCCAAGGGGCCAGGCTACCATCTAGGTCACCGCCACCGCCCCCCACGGGGGGAGGATGACCATGATAATGGCAACTCCATCGTGTCTTGGTTTACGCAAACGATTCGCTGCTTCGCACATGAACCCGACTCAGGGTCCGTACGGAGGAAGTGTCCGGAATGTTCGTGGTGGACATCTTTCCATCCTGGACCAGGTGAGGTTCGAACAAGCTGCGCACAGCCCGCTTCGGGATAAGATTTTCCCAACAAAGAAGAGTCCTGAAAAAGACTCTCGCCAGGTTTGTGGTTCGATGGCTGATTATACAAACAGTGAGTGAGCTGAATAGCGTTAACACACCATGAACGACCGGATTGACCAAACCAGACACGCCTGCACGTTTTCGTACTTCTTCACCAGCTCCCTCATCGGAGCCTCAAGCTTGTCGTTCCTTAGCTTCCAGGAAGGGTAGTTGGTGAAAAAACAAGATGAAAGAACCGAGAATACTGGCGAGATCCCCACAAAAGCTGCGAATCGGGAAAGCTAGACCCCGTTAATGTGAGACATGTTAGCAATTCAATAGGGTCACGCTCAATGAACATGGTGTTGATACCGAATGTTTGCTCAGATCAAATTTTTATCTGAACGGATACTACAGAATATCGCTAGAAACAGGTCTCGGGCGTGCTTCTGAGGAACCCTCAGTGCCGTGGAGGACGAGTCGGACATCAGAACATGGGGCTGGGCTGCGCATCTGTTTGCCGAGCAGCAAGGAATGAGCTTCGGACTCGTCCAATTCATTGGTGTTGTCCCGCTCCACTAGGCCCCGAAAATCTGGCGAGCTTGCAGGTGAGCAGGTGTGGCACGGTGGTGTGGCACAGCTTCACCAAAGAAGTTTTGAAGGTCCAGCAGGAAAGGCAATACCAAAGCTTAGAATGCTAGCTCTTCTTGCACCCGTCACAAGTTTGGTCACAACTTGATTGATGAAATACTGTCGCTTGCTGATCCGGTCACGTCTACGAATGGTCATCAACTGTGCCTTTGGCCAATTCTATGAAGGTCATCAACCTTCCTCATAGTACTATGGTCCTTTTGCCAAGCGGTTGCGAAGTTCATAATACATTCCTGGAGGACAAAAACCGCATCATTCTATTAGAGGATCTGCATGGCATGCAAAATGCCAGGCCAACCGTAGAGCAGCTGATAGGCTTGTCGCTCTGGATATGACAACGAAGAGGTCACCTTGTCGCTCTGGAGCGTGGCGGCATCACCCCACCGGAGTCGGATCTGAAGATCGAAGGTTGGCCGAAGAGAATGCCTAATGGTCGTACATGTTTTGTTCTCATGATCTCTATGGTCTCTAAGTATGTGTTGGATTTCCTGAAGTTGTCTCTGAATATCCTGATAATGGGTATGAAATTATCGACACGTCAGCATTTCTCCAATTCTGGCCCTTTGATAACAACTTCTTTGATGGGACAACTGTAATACCGGGTAGGGCCAGGGACAAACTTCACGACCGGTGTGGGATGACCACTCGATCTGCACTCTATTGATCGAGTAAGAGGATCAAAACTACTATCAGAATCTAAAAAATATCCCCGGCAGATCAAAACTATACGTGTTGAGAATTGAGACGAAAAAATATTCCTAAACCAGAATTGAAAGAGAGTGCGATGGCCTAAAACTTGTCCAGGGCTTTTCGGGTTAGCTCACAGAAAGAGAATGCTTTCTGGCAGAACCAGAAGCACACAAAGAGAGCCTATTGTTTTGGCTCCTGCTGGTAATATTCACAGGTCATGAAAACGTAACATGGGGTAGGTGTTCCACGTGAAAGCAGGTCATGATCATAGTAAGCTTCTGCATGCACAGAGAGGCAAATCTTCTATCTATACATTGTCTTTTTTGCTACCTGTTGTGTGTGTGTGCATAGTCGGCTCGCCCATCTAAAGCCGAGCCATGAGTAAGTTGCTCCATTATCCAGCCACCGAATCGCTTCCACCTAAATATGTGATTTGGTGGTAGGCCAGGAGACGCGGAACGGGGGTTGGGTGGTTAAATGTTCAAAATGGGCTAAAGGGACTCATGAGATAAAAATGCTTGTTTTCATTCATAATAATAATGTTCTGTTGGTCCTGATAATGATTTGTTGTTGATCCTGAATTCTTAATACCCATGGCCCATGCCGATTGAACGGCCCGTGGAAAAATACCGTGTGGAAACCGATGTCCGCTTCAAAGCGGCCCGCCAAATTGACTGGAACACTCACTCGTTGGACACTGAGTTGAAGAAACACAGACAACATTCGGGCGGAGGGTTCGAGGAGCCCTAAATGTCCAGAAAATCTGTTCCAACCCATTTCTTTGATCAACAGTGTTTTGTTCACCCAAGCACGTCTGATGCACTGTCTTTCCCAGTCTCCCGTTGGCCATGCTCACAGCTTCCCAGTCTGCCCACACACATGGCAACCGCAGATCTTTACTTTGTTCATGGTGACCTGAGGCAGGCACCACGCAGTAGAGTAGTCGGGCCTGCTCGTCCATCAAGCAGCAAACCTTGACACCAGGCTCAGTCATAGGTATGCTGAAGAACGTGATATAGAGAGAAGAATGTTTCAAACAATGGAGACCTCCAAAGAAGATTCTTTGTTGTGCGGCGATTGCAATCCCTGCCGAGCTAAAAACGGCCCCACATCTATATAGAGTTTCGGGGACTAGAGGGACTAGAGGAGGCCTTGTTAGGTCTGTTCACATTGAAGGCTATGGTCACAGCCAATAGTTGGAATGGGATTGGTGCGTTGCTGCTTCAAGCTTCCTCAAAAGCAGCGGCTTCCCAGCTCACAACCGTTCGATTCTGACAAATCCTCATCGATTTCAGCGATTTCGGTGGGAAGCGATCCCTGAAGCGAGATTCGACCGCACACCACGCTTCGCTGGAGACCGCACACTGCCATTGTTCCACTGCAGCCGAGTTCTTTGACCAGCAGCCAGCTTCTGGGAAGAAGCCTCTGCAATCGCGGTCATCCAGTCTGACTTTTTGATGGCGGTAAGGATTCCACATATTGATCATACATCCGAAGCTGGTGCAAGGGGCGTTTCGTGAGGTTTCCACACGAAGCAGTTAAGTGGGTGTGCGCACAAGAATCCTTGAATTTGCTTGTGCATCGCAAGCATGAGGTGAGAGACCTTTGTGTTGTCTTTGATCCAGAGACTTGCAAGTTGGGAACATTGGTTTCTGCCCTCAGCTCAGAGCTACAGTAGCAAGCCAGCTGCAGGTTGCGACTGCTGTCAAGTTTGAAGCCAGAAGCTACGAGAATATGAGGGCTCTGACTCCTGCAAGGTTTTGGAAGCTTCAGCCAGCCTTGAGCAGCTTCTGGAAAACTTCTTGAGTTTGCTCCTGCAAACTCTTTGACAAAAAAGAATGTGTGGTTGTGGGGAAGCTGGGAGGCTGGGGCGACGTAATCAAAAGATCAAATGTTTGCAGGCACCTAACATGCACTTCTTTGAAACGGATGCATCCTCCAAGATCCACCGAATGCCATGCTTGCTGCAAATGTGTAAGGAGCTCGAGGGGGAAGCGAATCAACCTACGACCTACGGCAGGCGAAGCCTAAAGAGCACCACCAGCATCCCCATTCGGCACAATGAACACAGCAACTGAGATGACCTCCTGGCCCTCAGCAGGGACCCGTTCCGTTCCTGCTGCTCAGCGTTGTCGGTCTCAATGTAATAAGCCAGGGTGATGCTGTCCTGCTAGCTGGAGTTCACAAGCAAATTGGTGATTGATGAGATTGTCTGGTGGATGCCCTTCATACAGGTCACATCGGGATCTCTAAATCCAGTCATCCCGAAAACCTTTCAAGCACTGGAGCCCAGTTCATTGGTAATGATGTTGTAAGAAGCGAGGAATGGAGATCCATGGATTCGACACAGCATGCTTGAACCAACGGGAAAAAAACAGGAATATGTATTTGTACGTAGACTCTTGATCAATAACCCTCCATTTAGATTGTAAAGCCTTTTCGTATGGAGGGTTTATTAATCAAGAGTCAATATGAAACAATACATATAAATATACATATACGTATACATCTGTATGTTTCTGGAGGTCCCTCTCAACCAACTAGTGAACATCCGTGAACTACGGTGCGAAAGTCCTGAAGTTCTATGATGGGGCCATTCATCTGCTGTTTGACAGGGCAACTGCTTATATACACAAGGAATCAGGAAAACTGCGCCAAACTCTGCAACCAGCAACACATTCAAACATTATTCCCAGAGTGGTGTTCCTGGAGTCAGGCGTCAATCCAAACTGACAAATGAAATTCCACTGCTCTATTGGAAGCGTTCCTGCTGTGATGGATCTGACACACACCTGTCCATGACATCACCTACACTAGGCTGCAGGCGCCTTTCATCAATGACCAGCGACTGTGGATTCCACTATGCGCAGGCAGAAACGAGTTATAGTTATAGGCTAGTTATAGGATCATTGAACAAATAATCGAACCACCAGAAGTTCGTCATCAACAAGCATCAAATCCAACCCTTGATTGCTGATGAACCATGGCTTCTCACACAGGTTGCAAAGCGTGCAAAAAGCACTCAACTGACCAGCGCTAGCAGTACAAATCACCCAGGCTATGCCAAGTATTGCAAATTTCCACATTCCCAAATTACCAAGTCCATGCAATTGTCTTTCATCACCAAGAGGTTTGTTCCACAGGTGATCGCCACAAAACACAGTGGTTTTAGCTCAAGCGCCAACTCACGTTGATCCGTCCTTCACGCGCCCCACTGCCAAGAACGGCAAATGACTGGCTCCCCAACTTTGCTGCTGCATGGCAGCAGATCGCCTTTAGTCGGGTTCTTGGGCCGTTTCTTCTTTGAGCCGTTGCCACGGAGGCTCGAGCATGAGCATGCACGAAAACATCCGACCAAGCAAGAATTCGGCACCAAGACAGCTAAACACCTCGACTTGATGGACTTTGGGTCCAGCCCTGAGTTGCAAAAAATCTCAGAGTTGAGAATACCCCAGCCATCCAGCCCTTTCAGCGGCAACTCACACTGTCGAATCGCTGGGACGAATCTATGTTATGTCATTCAGAGGTGCCGAACTCAACTGATATGATGTGGTCAAAGATGGTCAAAGTCTCAACGAAAATCCACCATGGTCACCCACATTTTGTCCACGCAGCCAATGTTACAGCAATCCATGATCCTGAAGATTCATGGTTGGACATGACAAACAAATGCGAGCGACATTTACAAATGACACTTCAGCTGTTGATGTCCAATGACAAGGAAGTGCCCAAATACATATACTTCTTGTTATATATAGATAGATATCATTTGGGCTTTGCCCCGGCACAGTAACAGTGACCACAAATCATACCACAAAAAAAA